GGCTTCTGCCGGGCATTGCCGCTTTCCGCTGCCCTGCTGGTGCCGGCCGAGAGGCCCGGCGGCCCCTGCTTTGACCCTCCCTGGTGGAGCAGACGGCTGGCCGCAGCCTCCCGCTCGTTCTCACAGGGTTAAAGCCGCTGTTTGCAAGCAACAACTGGGCCAGGTGGCCAAAGTTCAGTCCGGAGACCTCTGCTTGTCCAGCAGTCGCTGTGTCTGTTTCTGTCACGTCATGTAAGCAAAACAAAACAGGATTTCTGATACTGTCCCGGAGTTTGGGTTTCTCGGATTTCCATGTCGCCACCAAATTCGCTTTGCAACTGCAGGGCAGAGTTCATGCCTCACTTCGCACAGAATGTAGGTGGGAATTAGAAATTATGTATGACTGGAAGCTAGTCTCACTGTTGAATGGGCTAAAGTAGTTGTGTCCAGTGGTTGCAAAGGGGTTGGCTCCTTCCCCTGGTGCACACCCCGTCCAGGGGACCGGCTCCTGGAGGGCCGCCTCCCATACGCGGGCGGTGGCTGATCGTTGCCAGCGCCACCCTCCTGGAACCGTCCACTCATCTGTTTTCTGCTAGACCCAGGTGTGCAGGCTGGAACTGTCCTGCCTGTCTAGGGCCTGGCACCTGTGTTCAGGACGTGCCCGTCGGAGAAGGAGTCTCGAGGGCCCAGAATGTGGCTGGCTGTAAGCCCTCGTTCTCTTCCTTCGCTCTGTTCTTTTTCCAGTGCCACAGGGTCTTGATCAGTTAGCTTCAGGGTAAGTCTTGACCGCGCTTAGAGCCCGTCCTCCGGCTCAGTGACAGAGTGGCTGCCCCGGGTCTCTTGCCTCTCCGTGTAAACCTTAGACTCTGTTAGTCACCATCCCCGAAAGAACTCCGTGGAGTCTCCGTGGGGACTGGGGTGCAACAGTAGATGCAGCTGAGAGTAACCGACATCTCCCGTGCTGAGTCTGCCCGTGGGAGCGTGCACCGTAGCCCGCTCATTTAGTACTTTGACTCTGTCGGGGGCTTGTCCTTCTCCTGTAGGTCCTGCCTGCACTCTGGTAGGTTCATGCCTAGCCATTTTGGGTTTCGGGGGTGGTATATAAGTAGTAACATGTTTTTAATTCCATATCCCACCTGTTCATGTGCAGTATCTGCTTAACTTCGTAGGCGGTTGCTGGGTGCCGGAAGGTGCTGTGCACATACGCCACAATGTTTTGCCACCTGAGATCTGTGAGGAGGTAAGCTTCGCGCTCCAGCCTGTGATTAGTACTGGGAGTCTGCTATTCATGTGGCTAATTTGTTTGTCCTTATTTTTCTAATTCTAAAGTTACATTACGGTGGAAAGCAGGAGCCAAAAAAATGTATAGTAATCCATATGAGCAGCCAGGCTCGAAGAGTCCTCCCAGAGCGGAGGCGAGAACACCGTCTTTCAGAAGGTTCCTTGTCAGAGGCTCAACAGGGGAAAATGACTGAGTGCACCCTGGCACAGCTCACCTGATGATCTGTTCCAAATCTGGGGCACTACGTTGTCTTTTTTTTTAGAAATATTTATTAAATATTATTTATTATTTTTTCATTTAACTGGAGGGAGACATATTGGGGGGATGGTGGAAAAACAAGCCACCTGGTCTGGTACTTGAACCACGGTCAGCCAAGTGGAAGTCTAGCGCTTCAACCATCATGCCACTACTTGCCCCTCTTTTCTCTTTTTCTTTTTGGTATACACAACTGCCTTCTTGCCTCTGGGACCCGGCCCTGTTTCCTGGAGGGCCACAGTGAGCTCCTTCAGGTCTGTGAGCTCTGAGCTCAGACACTGGGATGGGAACTGCCTCAGGAGGAGCCGAGCCGCGGACAGCCTTGACCAGCTGGCTTGCTCCCTGAACTGGTAGACTCCTGTTTTAACCCTTAGCCTACAGCCTGTGCATTGGCTTTCTAGAATCTCACATGTCCAAAACAAAAGGCAGTCTGAGGGCCAGCAAGTAGCCGCAGATGGAGAATTGCTGTCGGTCCCACCCTTAGCCAGAGGTAGTTAAGGTGCTGGGCTCCCACACGTCTGACCACGGTTCGACTCCCAGATTTGTCGACTTGAAAATCACGCTGGGCACATGTGTGTGCATGCCCCAAATCATGAGAGGACAGTGAAGCAGAAGGGATTGTGGCGTGGCCTCCCCCTGGGGGACGGTGATTGCTCACCTTCCCTGTCCCCACACACCCTGTGGCAAAAAGGAACACAAAGTAAAAGGTGTTCTGAAAATATGTCCGTGCCGTCGGGTTTTTAGCAACCCTCCAGAAGCGACTTTATAATTCCTGCCGTGTTGAACGTGCAGGCCTCTCCCAGCCTCTGCGGCGCACTGTGCAGTGACCCCTTAGAACTTCTAGAAGGGAAAAGCGAAGCCATGACATTCCAGATCCAGTGTTGTAGAAGTGCTTCCCCAAGGTCACTGTCATTTGGATGTTAAAACTGTCTCTGCAGCACGCTCTCAAGCTGGTCACACCAGAACTTAGGAATGAGAATGTCGAGTTATCCAGTAGAGTAATTTTAGCATGCTAGGAAATGAACTAAAAGATACCTCCTGCGTCTTCTGCGTGTTATAATCCTCAGAATACTTTCCTGCAAAGGAAAAAATGATACGATTGGGTATTGAGATTTCCTTTTTATCGAAGAAGAAAATGAATTATACAGAAAAGTGTCATTTGCAGTGGCGTCAGTATTTCAAATGGAGTCTGAAAGGGACATTCTGTTATTATCTCTCATATTGCATCAGAGGAATTTGTAACCACTGTTCTGGGAAGCACTTGCTGCTCGGTAAAATCCACGTTTCAGAAAATTGGGACCAGCCGTTAGCGTAATGGCTGTGTCGCTGGACTCCCCTGTAGTCGACCACGGTTCAAGTCCTGGACCCAGTGGCTTAAACTCACGCCGGGCGCGTGCGCATGCATGCCCAAGATCCCAAGAGGAGAATGGATTGCGGCGTGACCATCCCCCTTGGGGGGTGATTTCTCACTTTCTGTCTCTGTCGCTTTCTGGCGAGCGCACGCGCCCTATAGCAAAAACCTCTCAGAAGAGAGAGAAAATCAGCACGTCTCTGTGGGGGTGCTGCGGTGTTTCACACACGCTGTCAACCGTGTCGCCCTCCGAGTGTCGGGGATCTGTGCGTGTCGGAGTAATCAGTGCACTGTCTTGAAAGGTTATGCCTGGAGAAGACGTTCCCATGCTGGCCCCTCTGCTCGAGGGCCCTGTCAGGGGCCCAGGCAGCCAACGCATTGAGGCCTTTCTATTTTGCGGTGCACCCCGATTTCTTCGGACAACACCCCAGAGAGAGGGTAAGCTTTTTGTGACCTTCCGTCTCCATTTCTGTTCAGTTTAGCGAGCTTTGATACATGTATACGGAGAATTCTGGAAGTTTGGCTTGTTCTGTCATGGTGATCAGTGTTTTCAGCCATTTTGGAGTACCAATGCCGGAAATTGAAAATGTAACTTATGTTTTGTGAAAACCCTTCTTGTTTTATGTAGACAACAAAGCTTGTCATATAAACTCTTCAGAGCTTTCTGTACCGTTTTTGGGGTAAAATTGAGGGTTTGGAGGGAGGTTAAGACTCATCCATCATGGTTGAAGGACGCTGCAGGAAGGTACGTTGGTGAACACGTGCTCTCGGCGCGCAGACCGACTTGAACAGGAACTTAGTACAACCACGGTTCAAGTCCTGGACCCAGTGGCTTAAACTCACGCCGGGCGCGTGCGCATGCATGCCCAAGATCCCAAGAGGAGAATGGATTGCGGCGTGACCATCCCCCTTGGGGGGTGATTTCTCACTTTCTGTCTCTGTCGCTTTCTGGCGAGCGCACGCGCCCTATAGCAAAAACCTCTCAGAAGAGAGAGAAAATCAGCACGTCTCTGTGGGGGTGCTGCGGTGTTTCACACACGCTGTCAACCGTGTCGCCCTCCGAGTGTCGGGGATCTGTGCGTGTCGGAGTAATCAGTGCACTGTCTTGAAAGGTTATGCCTGGAGAAGACGTTCCCATGCTGGCCCCTCTGCTCGAGGGCCCTGTCAGGGGCCCAGGCAGCCAACGCATTGAGGCCTTTCTATTTTGCGGTGCACCCCGATTTCTTCGGACAACACCCCAGAGAGAGGGTAAGCTTTTTGTGACCTTCCGTCTCCATTTCTGTTCAGTTTAGCGAGCTTTGATACATGTATACGGAGAATTCTGGAAGTTTGGCTTGTTCTGTCATGGTGATCAGTGTTTTCAGCCATTTTGGAGTACCAATGCCGGAAATTGAAAATGTAACTTATGTTTTGTGAAAACCCTTCTTGTTTTATGTAGACAACAAAGCTTGTCATATAAACTCTTCAGAGCTTTCTGTACCGTTTTTGGGGTAAAATTGAGGGTTTGGAGGGAGGTTAAGACTCATCCATCATGGTTGAAGGACGCTGCAGGAAGGTACGTTGGTGAACACGTGCTCTCGGCGCGCAGACCGACTTGAACAGGAACTTAGTACAAACCTCGGATGGCCAGTCCTTTTCACTTTTGTTATAGGGCACATGCGCTTGCCAGAGACAGAAGGGGCAAGGGGAAATCCTCCGGGAGCATGGCCACGCCGCCACTCCTTCTCCACCAGCTCCTCTCAGGAGTTTGGGCACACACGCACGTGCCTGCCTCTGAGTGCAGGACTCTAACCCATGCCATTGGCCATTTGGGATCCAGCACCGTGGCCCCCTGCCACCTGCTGGCCCAGCTGGCCAGAATGTTCAGCACCAGATAATCGGTTACAAAGCCCCCAGGTTGGAGTGATTTCATTGCTTCCTTTTACCTTCATTCACAGTGATACTTGGTCTAACATGAAAAGGAACTTCGACTCTGGAGAATTAACACTTTGGTTCTGGGGACCAGCAGTTGACATAATGGCTATGTTGCTGGACTCCCATGTAGTCGACCGCGGTTCGCGTCCCAGACCCGGTGGCTTAAAGTCATGCCAGGCACGTGTGCGTGTGTGCCCAAGATCCCGAGAGGAGAATGGAGGAGAAGGGATTGCGGTGTGGCCATCCCCCCTGGAGGGTGATTTCTCGCTTCCTGTCTCTCTGTCCCTCTCTGTCTGTCTGGTGAGCGCACACGCCCTATAGCAAAAACCTCTCATCAAAAAAATAATAATAGTTTAAAGTTTCTAACCTCACATGTATGGAAAACTCAAGCCTAGCAATAGCTGAATGTTTTCCATCTACCAGCGTTTCTTGGGTTTCAAGCTTATCAGTTTCACGAGAGAGGGGTGCCCTACAGTCGTCCGGCTGCAGCCCCCCTCCTCGCCACCAGCACAGGGCTCGGAGAGGACTCTGGGTCTCCACAGGCTGTCCCGTTGTAAATGCCCTTGATATTTTTTTCAGGAAGTCAATGAAAATTCTCTTAAGAGGTTAAGTGTCTACTTAGAAAACCTGCAGAAGCCAGGCTTCAAGTCTCTGAAGCCAACTCAGCTGACGTTCTACGTACGAGAGACAGACCAGAATTCCCCTGACGCCCAGGAGCCCTGCAGTGCTTCCGGTACGGCTTGGTTTTCCTGGCGTGGGCTTTGCAAACTGCATGGTGAACGTGGTCGTCAGTTTGACCTTGCTGGGATTCTTCGGAGTGGAGCTTTGGCGGTAGAAAAACAACCTAATTTAATTACTTATTTTTCTAGAGTTAGAGTCTGTTCCTAGCTGTGTGTGTTTAAATAAGCCATTTCTGAGTGTTTCAAGTTTGTTTTCATCTGTGTGGCTAAGCGTTCCTGCTTGACCCGTCTTGTTCAGTGGGTTTGCAGTAACCGTGCCCTCATGCATTTCTGACTGCCTGGCCGGTTGGTAGTATCTGCCCGGTGTAACTCGGTGCTGTTCAGTGAAGGGCACTTGCCCAAGACCGCGGGGTAGCGTGGAGGGCTGGAGCCCGGCCTCTGCCCCGCAGCCTTCCGCCGCTGCTGACCCGGATCTGCGCGCTCAGCCATCTTCATGCGTGTCGCCCTGCGTCAGCCATCACCCTGCCCTCCTGAAAGTCTCGGACAGACGCTCCGTACAGCCCTGTCATTTCCCTAAATGTCCTCGTTTTGGTGATCCTTGAGGCAATGCATTTGTTTTTAGAACGAGCTCGGAAGAGTTTATAGATTTACCAAGAGCTTCCTGTGAGTTACGGCCAGAACAGTGAGAAAACGCACTATTAGTTTTAGAAGACTTATTTCTCCCATGAGCGAGAGAGAGAGAGAGAGCGAGCGATGAAGACAGCACCCCTCCCCCGGGTCCTGATGCCCCGGCCCACCGCAGCCCCAGCCAGCCCGGATCACGGGCATGCGCGTGCCTAGCGTGTTCAGGCAGGTCTCCAGGCTCGAACCAGAACATTCCTGCCTGGGTCAGCCCCACAGAGCCACACGTGCTGTGCTGCACTGCTGTCCAGCCCCGGAAAGCACACCACAAGTTTTTTTTGAAACTGCTCGGACCTCCTGACCAGAGGAGAAGCTTGATCTTGAAAGAGCCCCGGAGGGTCTCCTCCCCGTAGGGTGTGTTGAAACGGCCTCCTGCCCAGGGTCTCAGAGCCGCGCGTCTGATGGTGTGCCTCCTCCTCTGTCCATGAGTGCAGGGGATCGGGAGGCACAGATCCTTCCTTGGACTTACAGTTTCGTTAGAAGCAGCCCTTGTCCTTCATTACTCGGAGAAAGCCGGTCCCCAGCCATGTGGGAAGGCGCGTGGTGAAGAGCACTGTAACTGCAATAATAAGCAGTACCCGTGGTTCGCGTCCCAAGCGGCAGTCCTGCTGGAAAGTGTAGTCGCTTCTCTCATCCATCACGGTGTGCCCGGCTCAGCCACAAAGTCTCCAAGTCTCCCACACTGCAGGGACATGGCTACTAGTGTAGGACCAAATATTCATAAATAGTTTCTAGTAAATAAGTGTGTTTATTACTCGGCAACAAGGCTAGGAATCGGAGAGTAGCCTACTTATGCACAACAGTCTACTTAGGTTTCATGATTTCTCCAGAACAGACGGGATTTAGAGAGGCAAATTATATCCTCCACAGTTTATAAAATAAAAATATTATCATTAGTCTGTTTTTATGTGTTTGGGAGAGTCAGGCCCATTTCTACAGCGATATCTGCTGTTTCCACTACGACATCAGCTCTAGGAGCACATGCAGGCACAGTCAGGGTCACCAAGCTGGGACGACATTCCGCATTTACAGACCACGCAGTAGGCGCACTCACCTTTGACAGTATTGCTGCTACTTATTTGTCGCTATGATGAAGATTGTCATTCTGAAAAAAAGATGCAACATCGTAATTTTTTTTTTTTAGAGAAATTTTTGCTATAGGGCACATGTGCTCACTGGAGAGACAGAGACCCAGAGACAGAAAGCGAGAAATCACCCCTAGGGGGATGGCCACACCACAATCCCTTCTCCACTCTCTTCTCAGAACCTTTGGGCATGCATGTATACACACCGGCGTGATTAAGCCACCGGGTCCAGGACTCGAACCGTGGTGTACTACGTGGGAGTCCAGAGACATAGCCATTACACCATCTGTTGGTTGCACATTTCAACTTTTTTACAGTGGTTTAATTTGTTTGTTGAAGTTACTTATTCCTTCTATGAGCGAGAGATAGCACCCAACAGGGTCCCCGTGACTACGTCATTAGCGTTTCACTGATGACCGAGACGACTCGTCAGATGTTTCCCAGTGATTTTTCTTTATCGAAATTTCATGCATCGTTGTGCAGGTGTGTTAATTTGCCAGTGTGCATGTGAACTCGCCAGAGAGAGAGACAGAGAGGAAAAGTGGGAAAGCATCCCCATGGGGGTGTCACCACAGTCCCTTCTCTATTTCCCTCTCCTTTGGAATTTTGGGCACACACGCCTGTGTACAGGTCACCAGGTTCGGGACTCAGACCACACTACTAGCCACGTGGGGTGGCCACCTTCACCACCACACCACCACCTGGCCACATTATTAGTATGCTGAAATTCTTAAAGGCCATGAGAACCAGCAGTTAGCGTAATGGCTGTGTCGCTGGACTCCCACATAGTTGACCGCGGTTCACGTCCCAGACCCGGTGGCTTAAAACTCACGCCGGGCGCGTGTGCGTGCGTGCCCAAGATCCCGAGAGGAGAATGGAGAAGGGATTGCAGCGTGGCCATCCCCCCTGGGAGGTGATTTCTCGCTTTCTGTCTCTCTGTCTTCTCTGTCTGTCTGGCGAGCGCACGCGCCCTATAGCAAAAACCTCTCAAAAAAAAAAAAAAAGAAAGAAAGAAATTCTTCAAGGCCTTAATTATTTCTTTAGTTCCACGGGTTTTTGTTTGGTTGCTTGGTTGGGATTTTTTGGTGGCGCATGAGGAGATAAGTATTTTTAGAAATAAATGTTAGGACCAGCAGTTAGCGTAATGGCTATGTCGCTGTACTCTCATGTAGTCAACCACGGTTCAAGTCCCGGACCTGGTGGTTTAAACTCACCCCTGGCGCATGTGGATGCGTGCCCAAGATCCCGAGAGGAGAATGGAGAAGAAGGGATTGTGGTGTGGCTATTCCCCCTGGGGGGCGATTTCTCACTTTCTGTCTGTCTGTCTGTCTCTCTGTCTGTTTGGCGAGCGCACGCGCCCTATAGCAAAAACCTCTCCAAAAAAGAAAGAGAGAGACATGTTAAAACACGCAGGAATCCTCGGGCCTTCTGTGAGTTAATGTTAAACAGCGGTAGCTCGCCCTGGCGGGTTCACTGCACCATTCCTTAAACACGAGACAGGCGACGGCAGAGCTTAACCTGGAGAGGGAGCGAGCGTGGCAGGTCTGAGCAATAGGCCCCTCCGTGGTAGAAATGGCAACGGTGATCCAGGAGCTGAGAAGTAGCCAGTACCCGTATGAGAAGGCCAGCCTCGTATTCAAGAGCACACTGAGGTAATTAGACCCTCCGTTTGTGCATGATGGTGCCACAGGTGGTGAGTGCATTCCATCCATGTTGGACGGAGAAGCTCACGTGGCCTCTGCAGGATAGCCAGGCGGTGGCGGAGGCCAGGGCAGGCGGTGTGGTGCAGGCTGCAGCCTTTACGTTGGGTGACACAGGCCGTCAGTGAACTGGTGGAGACAGACCTGCCCCGACCCAGCTGTCCCCAGCTCTGCAGGGCTGAAGTCTGCCTCCCCGTCCCTGCCCACGGCCGGCCTGGTCCTCCGGCTGCTCTGGCTTCACTCTCAGCCGCTGAGCCATATGCACCAACCTTGTGGTGAACCCAGAGCAGCCGGAGTGCTCTCAGTGCACGTGGGGCCTGAGCGGCTGCGTGGTCGACCGCACGTCTGCATCGGCTTACTGGGGCGGGCACGGCAGACGAGGGCAGCACCCGAGCTGTCGTCCCCACCCGGGCTGTTGCACGGCCAGCCTCACCAGAGAGCGGTAGCTGCTAGAAGGAACGAGGCTGATGCACATGGATGCGGGGAAGGGGCACCGAGGTTAAGTGGCAAAAGCAATTTACAGGGTCTACAGGTAGCTGGGTGATTAAGGTACTGCATTCTCAGGTGGCTGACCGCAGTTCAAGTCCCAGATCCAGCAACTTGCAGATCAGGAATGTCTATGGGAAAGCTATGTAAATTCAGCTCCTAATCCCCAGCAGAGACAAACCCGAACCGGTACACTAAAATCAGATTGTGAATCAGTAACTCCTGAACAATCCGAGAATTCTAAACGGCTCCTGGAAACGTTGGGTCAGGTGGCTAAGGAAGTATGAGACGGTCCCTAACATTTAAGAGCAAGTTCAGAATGGATTTCTGTGACCACTTGGACCGCTGTCACGTGAAGTCTCCCCCTCCCTCCTTCCCTCCTCCTCCCCTCAGGGCTGCGAAGGGTCTGTGGCGAACACCTGCCTGCAGCGGGCTGTTCCTGTCTCTGAAGGGACCAGACATCGGGCCTTAAGTGGCAAAAGCAATTTACAGGGTCTACAGGTAGCTGGGTGATTAAGGTACTGCATTCTCAGGTGGCTGACCGCAGTTCAAGTCCCAGATCCAGCAACTTGCAGATCAGGAATGTCTATGGGAAAGCTATGTAAATTCAGCTCCTAATCCCCAGCAGAGACAAACCCGAACCGGTACACTAAAATCAGATTGTGAATCAGTAACTCCTGAACAATCCGAGAATTCTAAACGGCTCCTGGAAACGTTGGGTCAGGTGGCTAAGGAAGTATGAGACGGTCCCTAACATTTAAGAGCAAGTTCAGAATGGATTTCTGTGACCACTTGGACCGCTGTCACGTGAAGTCTCCCCCTCCCTCCTTCCCTCCTCCTCCCCTCAGGGCTGTGAAGGGTCTGTGGCGAACACCTGCCTGCAGCGGGCTGTTCCTGTCTCTGAAGAGACCAGACCTCGGGTCTGGGTTGGGAATAAGGCCACATCCTTCCCAGGCCGGCTCAGGAGGGGAGCTGAGGGTTAAGGGCGTGCGTGAGGGTGAAAACCGTGGCACATTCTGTGAAGGGACCTCGCTTGTGTGGCAACGTGGACGACGGGGCAGGAGCGTGGCTTGTTTGGGGACAGGGTGTTTTAAGACTTTGACTTCATAATTGTTGAATGGGAAAGTATCTCTGAGCCAAGCTGGTAACGGCCTGTCCTCCCTGGGGTTGTGTTCTCTAGGACTCCGGGCAGTCCGAGTGACCTTGCACACCAGGGACCTGCTAAGCACAGTGTTGTGTATCCTCAACTCCTGCAGCTTGCCTGTCGAGCACCTCCAGAGCGTGAGCACCGCTGTGCACCCCCAACCTCGCAAGGGAACGAGGAGGGCGCCCGACAGGCCCATCAAGTGGGACAGGTCTTACTACGCCTTCACCGGCTTCAAGGACCCCGACGCAGACCTCGAACAAGTCTCAAGGGTGGAAACGACCCTGATGTACGTGCAGGTCCTTACCGACCTAACCTGTCGTCTTTAGCTCGTGTTTCACATTCAAGTCTTAGTGTTCTAGGAAAAGTAGCCCTACGAGTGTAGGTAAGCAGGAACCATTATGCAAATGAGAATTTGTGTTTTTGAATGTGGCCTGAATATTCCAAACTGTGTTTAATTTTTTAATCTTTCGAGACCAAACATGCTTAAGAGTGTTTGGTTTTGTTCAAGTTTTAAAATTCCATTCACGTGACCCTGGTATATGGAGAAAGGCTGCACTTAAGACTATAAAAAGTTTTAAAGCTTCTTCAAAGGTTTTAAAGCTTCACAGAAAGGTGTGAGGCATTTCTAACGGAGAGTCAGTGGCACTGTACCGTGGTACGATCATCCACACAGAAAGTACATGGGGACAGCACGATAGAGTACCAGAGGAGCGAGGTGGTGGCATGGCAGTTAGAGCGGCTGCATCCCACGTGGCCGACTATGCGGTTCGAGTCCTGGACCCGGCAGCTTCGGAAACACCCTGGTGCGTGAGCACACTCAAAGTCCCGAGAAGAGAATGGAGGAGAAAGGATTGCAGCGTGGCCATCCCCCCAGAGGGTGCTCTCACTCTCCCTCTCTCTCCCTCTCTGTCTCTCTCTGGCAACACACCCTCTAGAAAACTTAAAAAGAAGAAGAATTCCCATTCTAGAAACCCAGTGACAAGGTTTAAGTGATTAAAATTTGTTTTTTTATATACAGAAGAAGTTGTAAGTATTGAGTCGTCAGAAAAATCATGGCATATTTTAGTATGTTCTTCTGTGCAAAAATGCATCATGACTTTTCCGATGACCCGGAAGGACATGGTTTGACAGGTGCTGTTCATTCTCCAGGCAACCCGGGTATTTAAAAGGGCAGGCCTGGCAGAAGTAGAGGTTTAATTGCAAACTCAGTTGACTGTCGCGGCTGCTCAAGGGGATGCTTGTCTTTAATGACAAATGTTTATGTTCTAGTTAGTGTTGCCAAGTGTTTACCGTGTGTCTCTTTCTAGAACCTGGTTAGATAACAATGGAAAAAGTGCTATTAAAAAGCTGAGGAACAGTTTACCGCTGAGAAGAGAACTAGATCGTTTGAAAGAGGAGCTGTCTCATCAGTTGCAACTGGCAGACATCAGGTAATAAAGATGGAAGAGCCAGTTTAAAACTTAAACATGAATTGGGGCCAGCAGGTGGTGTGGTGGTTAAGGTGCTGGACTCCCACATGGCTGACCATGGTTCAAGTCCCAGCCCAGGCGGCCTGCTTTCTCACTTTCTCTCTCTCTCTCTCTCTCTCTCTCTCTCTCTCTCTTTCTCTCTCTCTCTCTCTGTGTCTTTCTCTGGTCAAATTAAAATAAAATGAATGAACAAAATTAAATAAAAATAATTCTTAAAAAAAAGTTAAAAAGAAATTAAGCATGAATCCCCCTCTGGTAAGCTTCCTAGCAGCTAAAATTTTGCATCTTTAACTTTATTCTGATAACTGACTTTGCTCAGCTGTGAACATCATCATTTTTTCCCACCAAACCCCACCCCCAAACTATCAATTCCTTGTTTAAAATATTTAAGTAAAGTTTGTTTAAGTACTTGTATTTCTGACATACTTTGATTTTTTTTTTTTCTTTGCCATAGGGCAGGTGCACTTGCCAGAGTGAGAGAGAAGAGGAAATTGAGAAGTCACCTCTCTGGTGGGATGGCCATGCCACAATCCCTTCTCCTCCTTCTGTCCCTAGGATTTGGGGCACACACGCACACATGCCCAATGTGATTTTTAAGCCACCAGGTCCAGGATTCAAACTGTGGTCAGCCACGTGGGAGTCCAGCGCCTTCACCACCACGCCACCTGCTGGCCCCAGTGTTGAACTCTCTTATATGATGACTTAGTTAAAAGCTATTTGTGACATACATAACATACAAAAGAAAGCACGCCTTCATTCATGCGGGGTCGGGCGGGAAGGGGAACATGGGTGCTGTGCTCCTGTGTGCACCACTTCCTGGTTACGTGTCCGTGAATTGGAGACGATGGCTGTGTAAACTGAAGATGGAGGGCCAGCTGCTGGCATGGCAGTTAAGGCAACTGGATCCCACGTGGCCAACTATGTGGTTCAAGTCCTAGACCAGTCGTTTGAGAAAACACTAGATGGGTGTGCCCAAAATCCCAAAAGAAGGGAGAGAGCGAGAAAGGTCCCCTCCCCATGGCCTGTGATCTCTCTCTGTCTCTCTGGAGAGCGTACACACTATTTCTAAAGAAAAACTGAGGGATAGACAAGGAAGGGTCGGGGGCTCGTCCCAGGACTCGCATGCTAGAGCCCTGAACCGCCGCCGGCCCCAGGTGTAGATACCCGGTTACTTTTGCCGTAGCCTGATTTGTGGTTTCCAGTCCGTGTTATCAAGACTTGTCGTTCCCTGGAAGCAGCGGCCATCAGGCTCCGTGGGAGCAGCTCTTCCCTGTGCTGATACCTTGCTTCCGGTTGGACTTAACCTCTTCTGGGGTATCCCAGCCACTGTTCACTGAGACCATTCACATCCAAGCAGGGCCTGTAGACATGCACTTGTGTGGGACATTGGAATTGATGTTATATAAGGGGCTTGAAAAAGTTCGTGGAAAACCCGTTATGAAAAACTACACACGGATCTCAACAAGTTTCCGCGGCAATTTAAACTCCTACTCTGCTAGGGACTAGCCAGGTCTAGTTTAAGGCACTCAGAGAGAGAAGGCATCGGTTTGAAAAGAGCCCTATCAAAGCGACACAGACTATGCTAAAATCGAAGCAAGAGCAAACACCCACCTGGCGGTGCGGCTTGGGGAGAAGGTGACATCATCGCTGGGTCAGGAAAGGCTTATGCAGACAGTGCCCAGAGAAATCGGCCGTTCACAGATGAATAACTTCCTTTAAGGAGGGTTGAGATGATGTTGCAGAAGACACGCACATCAGTCTGGAAAATTCCATCTCGTTCACGCCCTGATTAACAGTGAGAACAAGAGCCCACCACACAAACATCTTGCTTTTCTTTTCCCCACGTTTATAAGCAAATTCGTGTGCGTGAAGATGTTTTCAAGTATAAATTTATAAAGATCCACTAAGAGGGTCAAAAGCACGTGGTGGTTAAGGTGTTCGATTCCACATAGCTGACCCCAGTTCGAGTTCCAGACCTGGTGGCTTGAGAGTCACACCAGACGTGCCCAAGTGTGCCCAAGTCCCAGGAGGAGAATGGAGAAGGGATTGCAGCATGGCCATTCCCCGGGGGTGATTTCTCGTTTCTCTTCTCACTGTCTCTATCTGTCTGTGGTGAGCACACGTGCCCTATGGCAAAAAATCTTTTTTTTTAAATTTTATTTATTCATTTATTTATTTTAATTCGACCAGAGAGAGAGAGAGAGGGAAAGTGAGAAAGCAAGCCACCACGTCTG